CTACAAATAAGTATTTGTAAATTTTTTAAAGAATTATTTTATTTTAACTTTATCTATTATTATTATCATTATTATTTTCCGGTTTGATGAGAGAGATAGAGAGAGAGAAAGGAAGTGAGAAAGCAAGCCGCCAGGTTCGAGACTTTAACTGTGGTCGGCCATGTGGGAGTCCAGCGCCTTTAACCACCATGTCACCTGCCAGCCCCATAAAACTTTTTATATAAATATACTCTATACATTGTCCTCAGAAAAAAATATTTCTTTTTATCTTCATATTATAGATTTAGAAATAAATAAAATGAAAACTCAGCAGGAGATAATTATTGGGAAATACTGAGAGCATAATTACTAGGGAGGCAAGCCTGGGATAAGGGTTACCAGGCAACAAATCCTTGGAGAAAGTAACATGAAAGTGGATTGGGAGATAGAGTCATCCAATCATCCAAGTGCCTGGGCAGTTAGGTGCCTGAAAGAAGTGAGAATGAACCTGTTATCATTTGCGCAGGCCTAAGAAAATTTCCTAACAAGTCAACAGGGAGAGAATGAAGAGAAGGAGACTTTTGCTGATAGACATTAACCATTTTCTTCCTTCTCCCTACCCTCCCATCTCCTCCAAGATCACAGTAGTCAGTAATTACCAGCATCTAGAGTAAGGAACTTTCTTATTTTACTTTTGTTGCAGATGGTGAGAATTTTCCAAGTAAATGTGTGTGTTCATGTGTATATGTGAGTGCATTTACATTTGCTCTTCTGTGTACTGGGCTGAAAAAATACACACTAAGTGTATTGAGTGAGAATAGTTTATAGGTAGAACTGTCTCCAAAGGGGATGGCTCCACATGGTGGTTAAGGTGACTAGATCCCACATGACCGACCATATAGTTCGAATCAGCCCCAGCGCCTTGAGAAATACACTGGGCATATGTGCACGCATTCCTAAAATCCCCAAAGGAAGGAGAGATGGAGGAGAAGGGATTGCGGCATGACTGTTCTCCATGGAAGAAGGGAGACTTTCTCCACTCCTTCTTTTGTCTCTCTCTCTGTCTCTTTCTGATTACCACACATGCTCTTTAGCAAAGAAAAAAAATTTCCAAAGGCTCAAAGACATCAGTCTTAGAGTCACTAAGAAGCTCAGTGTTGTAGAGGCTCATTGTGGGTGGTAGTTTGGGATTAAGATAAAGCTGAAAAGTAGGTTGGGGCCCACTTACATTTTATCCTGTGGGTAGAAAATAGAAAATCAGTTAAGATTTTAGAACAAGAAAACACTATTTAAAGAAAAATTACCCTAGCAACAATGTTCAGCAAGACAGAATGTGTGTTGGGCTTAAAAGAGTGGCAGTAAAGATCCAATGGAGAAGCCTGATTCAAGAGAGGTGCCTGAGAAGAACGGACAAGACTTGGTGCTAGATTGGGTGTAGACAGAAAGGATGAGGGAGAGGTGAGGTTTTTTAGTTAAGATGAAGGACACAGGAAGGAGTGACAAATCTTTCAGTCTGGGACACAGAACAGAAAGTTGGAGTGGTCCAACAGGCAAATGGGTTTCTAGAACCCAAGGGACGGGTCTGGATTCATAACACAAATGGAAATTGCAGCCAGTGTGAACTGGATCACTGGAGAGAAGAGTCAAGAGGAGGAAGGCTGAAAAGCTGAAGGGTGGCATGGAGGATAAGAGGATTTATGGGTAAAACAGAGAGAAAGAAGCCAGTTTAAGAGATAGAGAAGGAATGATCTGAAAGGCAAGCAGAAACACCAGGAGAGGGTCATTCATGGAGCCTGGAAAAGACAGTTTTGAGAACGTGTGGTATCCAATGCTTAATTTTTAAAGAATGCCTTTCCTTCTTAAATGCACATGATCATATAAGCCATAAAACACATCTAAACAAATATTGAATAGTAGGTATTATATAGAACATGTTCTCTGAGAGCAATACAGTTAAGTTACATGTTAATAACAAAAAATAAATTTTAAAGTACACATGTTTGGAAATTTTAAAAATTAATTTGTAGGTCAAAGAAAAAATGGGATAAAAGCTTAAAAGCACACTTAGAACTAAGTGGCAATGAAAGCACTAGGCATCGAAACTTAAGGTACACAACGAAAGTGTTACTTCAAGGATAATTTATAGTCTTAGATGCTTATTTAAGACATGAATAGAAACTCAAGATTAATGAGCAACCATTCATCTCAATAAATTAGAAAAATAATAACAAATATAAAAAGGAATAACAATCTTTATTAAGCCAAACAAAATATAAAGGGAAAAAATAAAATAATAGAAATGAGTGAAATAGAAAAAAAAATACAATACAGTGAATCAAGTTAAGAGTTGATTTTTTTCCTAAATAATTACTTATTTTATTTACTCATTATTTTTTTAAATTGGCTATAGGGCATGTGTGTTCACCAAGGAGAAAGAGAGAAAGAGAGAGAGAGAAAGTGAGAAAGCAAGCCACCAGGTCAGAGACTCAAACTATGGTGGGCCATGAGAGAGTTCAGTGCCTTAACCACCATGCCACCTGCTGGCCCCAAGAGCTGTTTCTTTAGCAAATAGAATCAAATTAGATAAACCTTTACTGACAATAGTCATGAGAAAGAAAAAAAACAAATAATATGACTATATATATATATATATATATATATCTGGATATAGCCTTAATTAAAAATGCAGTAAGAATACTATGAGCAATCTTATTGCTAATAAGACCTAGGAATTACTGCTTTCTTCCTTGTATTTTCATTTGGGAAACTACCTAATCCTCTCCCCATAGGTCCCTAAGAACAAAGCAAGCTCTACTAGCAAATTTCCAAGGTATCGCCACAGCCGCCACTGTCTCAGAATTTACTGGGATTGTCACTTGAGATGTAGCAATTTGACTGTGAGCCACTAATTACTGTATGAGGATGCAGTGGAGGATCGTCCTTGGGATGCTAACCTTTGTTCCACTTCAGAATTAATCAAGCGTCTCAAGGGCTCACTGTGCCCAAATAATGTGAATATTATCCTGATGGCATACTGGAGTCTAATCATTTAGTTTGCCTTTGTTACTGCTTTTCGATGCCTCATGGGGTCTTATTTGAAGCTGAGTACTGCACAATCCTAGGGACCCTTGATGACGATCCTGCAATGAGAGAAAAATCCACACAAGTTCTTTGAGTGAAGATGATTCTGTCTCTAACAGGCTAAACTTATCAGTATGCGGTGTTTGGGATTCTATGGTTAAAGCTCTTGAGGATTATATATATAGGTTTATGATTACAGCTACTTTTAAGGTGAAAGGCTACTTTCAGAAGTACTGCCCCAGGTCAGGTTTTGGCAGGAGCTTTTTTCTGAACCCTTAAAACATAAAAAGCTTAGTAATATATCTCACTCAGAATTTCCAAGGTGACTTCTCAGTGATCTCTCCTGTTTTAGTCCATTATGTCGCTAATAACGGAAAGACCTGAGTCTGGGTGATTTATTAACAATAGAGCATTACTCAGTTCACAGTTTAAAGGCCTAGGGTCCAGAGGTCACATCTGGTGAGGACTCTTGTTGGTGGGGACTCTGTGTTACCGGTCATACAGACCATGCCTGATCACTCATTGCACAGTAAGCCAATTTCTGAGACATGAGAGACGGCTTTAGAAAAAGGACTTATTATGGAAGATACCAAATGGGAGCGTGGTAGAATCTAAGCCTCTTAAAGTACCATCTCCCTGAATGAGGAGCAAGCAGGGCTTAAAATATAAGCCAGGGGGTGACCAGCAGGTAGTGTGGTGGTTAAGGTGCTGGACACTCCCACGTGGCTGACCATGGTTTGAGTCTCAGACCTGGTGGCTTGCTTTCTTATTTTCCCTTCCCCTCTCTCTCTCTCTGTCTCTCTCTGATCAAATTAAAATAAATGAATGAATAAATAAACTTAAATAAATAATTAAGAAAACAACACACACACACACACGCACACACACACACCAGGAATATGACAACATGAGGGTCTGGGGGTAGAAATCTAGGGGTTTTCCAGAAAAGTTTTGATGATACCATCTCTAATGGGTGGTGCTATTTTCTTGATGCCAGGCAGTCTTGAGGGTCCAGAGTAAGATATTGTCAGGTCTGTCCTGGGCACAATACTCAAGATAAAGAACTCTTAGGACACCAGATCTTTTTAATCTTTACATACTACTGTGAGTACATATTGCAAAAATTGAATAATTAAGATTATTATTATCCAGGCAAGTGGCATGGTGGTTAAGGTGCTGGACTCCCACATGGCTGACTGTGGTTTGAGTCCCATACCTGGCAGCTTGCTTCTCACTTTTCCTCTCTCTCTCTGGTCAAAGTAAGTAACAAATAAGTAATAATAAATAAAAGTAAATAAGTAATTCTTTAAAAAAAACTATCATAATGTGGTCATTACAGGACTACACATATATGCAGATAGCATCAATTAGTCAGGTTTTTTTTTGCATAAACTTGGCTTCTGGTGTAAAGTAAATTATCTAGGATGCTAGGGTGTATTTCTTTATTTACCTGGTAAATATTACATTTAAGACCAAAGAAAACTTATTTTTATACTTCCCAAGGGCTGGTATAAAATCTGCAGAAGTTGAGGCAGTGAAAGCATCGCATGGTGATAAGTGAAGGAGAGTTTGCATGCCTCTGTATCTGTGTTCTGGCCTCTCTCCCTGTAACGCTACCAAAAGGCAATCATGGGGGCCCATCCTAATCACCTTCCAAAGGTTCCATCTCTTAATCCCATAGTAGGATTAAGTTTCCTTTTAATACCAACACCAAGTGTCAACACATGAATTTTTAGGAGACATATTCTTTCTACAATGGAAGCCTGATCACTTTTCTATCAATAACAGTGGTCTACAACACAAAGCGTGAGCTCCCAGGTCGTTTACCACCTTCGGTTTTATTATCTGTATTCCTGTGTTGTCACTATTCTTCCTAATCTCCCTCCATCCTCAATATGTGGCAAAAACACAGCTAAACAGAATAAAAAGGGTGATGTTCCATACTTAATGGACATGTTCTTCCTTTATATAATATCATACCCACCAACAAAGACTTCTTGAAAACTTTCCTTCTGGAACATTCTTTCAAAGCTCTGCCCTATATATGCATTTACTTCTGTTGGAACACTTATTTTATACATAGAATCTCAGATTTAAAAAAAAAAAACTCTCAATTTAAAAACTGAAGTATATTAACATACTTTTACTGAGATTAAAAATCTGGAATATTCCCTCTGTGAGACAGAAAAGTCTCAATTTATGGTTCTCTCTTCTTGCCCTGGGTTGTGGGAGAAATTCTGGGAAAAATTTCATAGCACCTAAGTTTTGGAGGGAGAGGCACTCACCTTTCATCCCTCCTTCAGATTTTGGAGTCCTCTTTTCAGTCTCCTGTCTTGTTTGCGGTGAGTCCACCATTCGGTTTTTACAGAGCCACACGGAGCTTGTGAGGCGTTCTGAGGCTATTACTTCCTCCAGGATACCTCAGACTCCTTCACCTTCGGGAATCTTGCAACCTACTTCTGATGACTGAATTGCAGATAACAAATAGGTTGTTACTCCGGGACCCGGAGTATCCCTTTCTCTTTATCTTGTTAACATTCAATTTCAGAAGTATATCCTGTCTCTCTTTATCTTGTTAATATTCTATTTCAGAAGTATATCCTGCCTCGGGAAATTTTTGTATCGGAGACATCTAATTCTTCTTACAGTCACTTATTCGTTTCGTTTTTCTAGAGGTTTTTGCCTTAGGGCATGTAGAGATAGACACAGTGAGAGGGAAAGTGAGAAATCTCCCGCCCCCCAATGGCCACTCCGCAATCCCTTGTCCTTTATTCTCCTCCCTGGATCTTGGGCACCACGAGCCCCGGGTCTGGAACTCGGAACCAGCGACATAACTGCTACGCCATCTGCTGGTTCCTGATTTAGATTTTTAAATAGTCATTTAAAGCCATTGATGGTTATTTTGATAGTCATTTAAATTCCCTCAGCTAAATCCTGTCTTATCTCCAAATCTGAGGCAAGATGAAAAATTGAACTCCAGCAACTTCTAAATCTAGCAACTCAGGAGATACGCCTGAAGATTATTTTTAAACCTTGGAGACGCTTCCAGCCCCAACTCTAGTTTTTTTGGACGATCACAGGCGACCAAGATCGAATTTTCGAATCCCTCGGTCGTGGGCGTGGGACAGGACGCCGTTCAGTCTCCTTTTCCTCTTAATCTCCTAAATTTTTCCGAAGCAGCCCTGCCAGCCATTTTCCCCAGCTACTTTTGTCCCCGCGGTCTCCTCGGAACCTCTCTGGATCCTCAACATCCCCTCGCTCCTCCCGCCCTGCTCTTCTCTTCGAACCCCGCCCCGTCTCCCTACGGCGTCTCCCTCATAGCCACGCCCCCTCCTCTCTGGCTCCGCCCTGTCCGTGCCCTCTTCTCAGCGCCTCCTTCGCTTCCCTTATGTCTGTCCCTTCTCACCATCCGTCCTAACGTCTTTCCGTCGCTTTCGTCGTCGCAGTCGTTATGTTTACTATGCGCCGGAAAAAGAACCCGTAAACGCTTTGGAATCATGGCGGCGGTGGATATTCGAGATAATCTGAGCTGTTACGTATGCTTTGTCTCTGGATTGTTTACTGGTTTGGGGGCTTTCAGCTTGCGGGAGTAAGCTGCAGATTTCTTTGTGAGGTCTCTGAAGCTCCTCTCAATGGTTTCTGTGTACAACCTGAGGCTCTAATCTGCGGAAAAGTTGCCGAGTTTTTCCCATTTTCTGCGGGTTTCAGTGTCAAAACGAAGAGATTGCATGAAACTCTTGGGAACCCTTAGACCTGGAGTATGTTCTACACCCATATCTTTGCAGCAGTTGGAGTGCTGTTCTGTCTTTGGAGTGGTCTTTGGCAAATATGAGAGGAGAGCCAGATAATGAGCGATTGTTAATCTCTCGGGATTTAGCATCGGTGCTACCGTAATTATTTTTGAGATCACCCCCCACGCATGCCTGTGCTTTCTAAGACTTTCTGTTGTAAATTTTATTTTTGAGTCTGTAACACTTTCCATTGAACACCTGACAGTTCTGTGGACAGGGATCGTTTCTAAAATGCAGAGGTACACAAATATTTGTTGACTCAATCAGTGAATAAATGCATGGAGATGCAGCTTTTTCATTGTGGCTTGATCTTCGATTGTGTGTAGGGTTGTTTTTGTTTATAGATCATTTTCTTTAAAAATTTTTTAAAAAATTTCTTGGAGAGGTTTTGTGATATAGGGTGCGTGCGCTCTCCAGAAAGAGAAAGGAGAAATTCACCCCCTTCCCCCGAGGGGAGGGTCATGCTGCAATCCCTTCTCCATTTTCCACTGGGGATATTCTGGTCGCACGCCCAGGCCGGGTGTGAGTTTAAGCCACCCAGTCCGGGACTCAAACCGCAGTCGGTTACATGGGAGTCCAGCGACATAGCCATTACGCCAACTGCTGGCCCCTATAATTTGCTTTTTAAAGTAAATGTGTGAGATGTCAATCAACCACAAATTGAGATCTGATTCACTTCTTACGAATATATTCTCTTTGTAGTTATCCAGAGATCTTATGTGTTTCTACATACTTGTCTTTCATTAGAAGTGAGAGTTTAAAATGCTAGTTTCATCACTTGCAGATGGTTAGGCAGAGTGTTGTATGTCTGCTCTGTCAACCTGCTGCCTTGTTACTGAATAATAAAGAGAAACCTTAAACTTTTCAGACTGTTTTCAAATATTTAGCATTCATAACGTCTTACTTTTTATTTTTATTTGTTGAGATTATGGCAGAGGCTCTAAAATGAGTGTGTGTCTGGTGTGTTGGAGGAACAGCAGGAAGGCTGGTAAGGGCTGGAGGCAGGAGTGAGAGAAGTGGGAAGGAGATGAGGTCAGAAAGGTATTGTAGGTTACAAAGTTACAAAGAGGTTTTTGGCTTTTCCTCCCAGAGCCACTGAAGGGTTTTGATAAGAGGTTTTGTTTGTTTGTTTGTTTGTTTTTTAATTATTTATTTAATTTTATTTATTCACTCATTTATTTTCATTTGACCCCGGGGTTGGGGGGAGGTAGTGAGAAAGCAAGCCATCAGGTCCAGGACTTGAACAATGGTCAGCCTTGTGGGAGTGTCCAGTGTCTTAACCACCATGCCACTTGCTGGTCCCCAGGTCTATTTATTCTTTAATATACAGTGCTAAAACCTGCCTTCTCACCACATGAAAATAATTTCCATTCACCCAGGTAAAGTATTCTGCTCCATCCTCCATATTCTGATAGGATGTTTATCTATACCTTTATTATGCTATTTATCAGATCATGTTGGCATTACTTTCTTGCATATCTCTTTTGTTAGACCATGAGAGTATGTGGGTCAGAATCTGTTATCCTTATATTTATAGTACCTGTTACCTTAGATATATGATAAATGTTTATTGAATTGGATTCTTTCTCTTTTCTAATCCTTTTCTCCCCCTCCCCCCTATAGATAATCTGTTGGGAATCTCTTGGGTTGACAGCTCCTGGATCCCCATTTTGAACAGTGGCAGTGTCTTGGATTACTTTTCAGAAAGAAGCAATCCTTTTTATGATAGGACATGTAATAATGAAGTGGTCAAAATGCAGAGACTGACACTGGAACACTTGAAGTAAGTTCTGCTAAGAAGGTAGCACCTTTGCCAGCTGGAGATTTTGTAATGAATTGTTCCTTTAAGCTGCGGATCATGAACTGTAGAGTACAACTGTCAGAACTAAAACTGGAGTTTTCTTTGGGTTTACATGATCTTAACATGCAAGGCAATTACTAGTAGTCACTTGAAATTAGAAGTCTTTTCTGTATAATTTGCTAAGATCCGTTTAAAATCTAACTAAAGTTTACATGTTGATCTGATGAGCAGAGTTATAATGCAATTATTATTGTTAACTAGGCAACTATTATTACCTCCTCTATATCTAATTTAATGTTTTATACCATAGTCTGGTTTATAGAAAGTTTTCTTTGTATGATGAAAAAGAAAATAAAAACTTAGCAAAACACAAACAAGACTTCAGACTTAGAATGCTAAGTAATTAAGAATTTGTTACTATTTGAAAAGTTTCTGAAATAACTGTAATGTAATTATTCCCTTGTCAGCTAAATATCCTTGGAGTTTAAATGGCTTTTTTTTTTTTTTTTAATAAAAAGTACTTTGAGCTATTAAGACAACCTATTGTGGCTTTTGAACATAATCTGTCAGGTCAGAAATTTTGTTGGGGTGAAAATTTTTTGGTGTTTTCTAATTGGTCAGAATGTATTGATTGGCTCTTCATTTATTTTTATATTTTATATGTACTTAAGAGATTTTCTCAGTCAGGAAGCATTATGATATTTTGATTGCCTTTATGAAATGGGTATCCTTCACTTTTCTTGATCTAAATACTCAAATTTAAGTTTGTAATGTTTTTGTAGATAAATTTATACAGTCAGATCTTACTTTATCTGTATAGCACCCACGTAGGGAAATAGTTTTATTCAACAGCCAGGTTTTAACATGAAACAGGCAGTTTTAATTCTATATGCAGTATTGCTACACTTCTTTGTAGTAATTTGAATGGCCTGTAGAGTGGTGTGTTGATCTCTGGATGTCTGTTCTGTTTCAGTCAGATGGTTGGTGTCGAATACATCCTTTTACATGCTCAGGAGCCCATTCTTTTTATCATTCGGAAGCAGCAGCGGCAGTCTCCTGCCCAAGGTAAAATGTGTGAACTTCAAGCATTAATTTTTTCTTAAAATGTCATACTTTGGGGTCAGTGGGGTGGTGTAGTAGTTAAGGTGCAGGATCCCATATGGCAAACTTCATGGTTCAAATCCCAAATCCCAGACTGGATGGTTTGAGATTCAAATCTCAGACTGGATGGCTTGAGATTCACACTGGGTGCATGTGCATGCCCAAAATCCTGAGAAGAGAATGGCAGAGAAGGGATTGCAATGTGGCCATCCACCTAGGGTCTGTTTCTTACTTTCCCTCTTTTTGTAATGAGCTCACATGCTCTATGGCAAAATCTTTAAAAAAACAACAACAAAAAAGTCATAATTTATTTCATGACCTGTATGTTCTTTTTGCTTTTTGGATTGGATTCTTGGATTCTGTTTCAGAGTTCTTCAAGACTGCATTTATGTTCAGTACTTTGCTCAGTGACTCATCAGACTCAGCGTAGGGTTGTACTCAGGGGATTGATTTGTGATGGCAGGACAGGAAGGATACACAGCCAGATCCGTAATGGAGAAAAATATATCAGACATACCAGCCAGAATCTGTGGGCATACATGTGCATAAGGGGCTAAGCTCATGTGCCCTTCAACCAGCAGTGAAATACCACCAAATGTTTTCAGTATATCTGCTTAGGGAAGTCTGAGACTCTGAGCCCAGGATTTTTATTGAAGATTGGTTATGTAAGCAACCTCTGCCCACAAAACTCTCAGGAGGAATCATGTGTCCACTATAATCCCATTGTTTATACAGATTGGACAAGATGGTGTAGTAGGCATAACTATCACTTACAAAATGTTTCAAAAGCTGAGTTTTGAGCCAGCAGATGGCATGGAGTTTAAGGGTCTGGATCCCACATAACTGACTCCACAGTTCGAGTACCAGACCCGGCGGCTTGAAATTTGCACCAGGTGCTTATGTGTGTGCCCAAGATCCTGAGAGGAAAATGGAGGAGAAAGGATTGTGGCATAGGATCCCCCATGGTATGGGGTAGTGATTTCTCACTTTCTATCTCTCTGTCTCTATCTCTTTCCAGAAAGTATATGTGCCCTATAGCAAAACTAAAAACAAAAGTTAAATGTACTCTGCTTAGAGTGGCCCTTGGGCATGCTGGAAGAGTCCTGGTGTCCAAGTACACAAATGGTGAAACTTGGCTTTTTCCTTTAGTTTTTGCTGTAGGGTGTGTGTGTGTGTGTTTGCTGGAGAGAGACAGAGAGATAGAGAGAAGGAAAGTGAGCAGCTCACTGCATCAAAGCTATCTTTTCCTGAGAGTACATTTGGGCTATTAAGTGAATCTTAAGTGTCCCAAATAACTTTTCATCTCATCTCAGTCCACTCAGTTAATTTTGTTACAAAATCCATAGTAGATACATCCATACCAAATACATAGGGGATCAGTTGAAAAATCTCATTGACATAGTCAACCAAAAGTCTTACCTGGGTTATACTACCAAACAAAAACTTGCTTTAAAAGTAACACTGAAGGGCCAACAGGTGGCATGGAGGTTAGGGTGGTTAGGTCCCATATGGCCTGCTGAGTGGTTTGAGTCCTGGACCAGGTCACTTGAGAAACACACTGGACTTCTGTGCATGCATGGCCAGAATCCCGAGGGGAGAATGGAAGAGAGGGGATTGTGGCATGGCTATCCCCACTGGAGGGGCAAGGGCATTTTTCATACTCCTTCTTTTTCTCCCTCTCTCTGGTGAGTACACATACCCTATAGCCAGAACAAAACAAAACTGTTGAAGGGTATAAAATTCAAAGTGGGTTTTGAGTCAAAGAGCTAGGCAACCAATACTTGAACATCTTAGAATCAAGCCAGGACCATGGGAAAAACACTAATAGAAAGATTCAAGATAGAGAAGCCAAACAGTGTCATCCTAACTCTCTCTATTATATACTCTTATCAAGATACTTAGTTAGGAATAATTTTTATCCTGATTTTGATTTCAGAGAATGATTTGCTAAATAAGTTGTGGTTACCAAACCCAAATTTAGTTTAAAAATAGAAAATCTAGTTGTGCCAGCCAGGTGGTATGGTGGTTAAGGCAGCAGGATCCCAAGTGGCCAATTGTGTGGTTTGAGTTCTGGACCTGGTACCAGCTTGAGAAACATGCTGGGCATGTGTGCTTGTGTGCCTAAAAACTCAAGATGGAAACGGAGGAGAAGAGATTGCAGCATGGTCATCCCTCCTGTACCTGCTCACTTTCTCTCCCTCTCTCCAGCAAGCACATGCTCCCTATGGCAATTTTTTTTTTAAATTGAAAACTTAAAAATGAATAAATAAAAGAAAGCCTAGGGTTTCCTCCCAGAGACAGGGAACCTTAGACAAGGACAGGATTTCCATGGTGAGAAGGTTTAAGGTATAGAACCTACCTACACGAGGTGGCATCAGCTTCACTGGAAGCTATCTTCTTCCTTTTAACCCAGCACTGGAGTATCTTCACCCTGGGCCTCAAGTCTCTCTCAGTAAGAGGGCAAAGGAGTAGATCTATGGCCTTAAGTGTAAATAACTGGCAGCAGCACTGACATTATTTAGGAAATAATGTTAAAAATGCTCTATCCCTATGAATTAAGAATTAAAATTTGGGGTGGGAGGGGGAGATTTTTCCTGTGTAGCACATGTGCTAGCCAGAGAGACAGAGAGAGAGGAAGAGAGAGAAAATGAGAAATCACCCCTTAGAGGGGATGACCATGCTGCAATTCCTCCTTCTCCATTCTCCTCTCAGGATTTTGGGCTGGGCACGCACATACACATGCCTGGCATGAGTTTTGAGCCGTCAGGTCTGGGACTCGAACTGCAGTCAGCTAGATGGGAGTACAGTGCCTTAATCACCATGCCACCTGCTGGCCCCAATAATTTAAATAGGATACTTAGATGATTGTGGTACACATTAACATTTGAGAAGCATTGCTTTGGGCTAAGAGTTAGCATATTTTGTCTGTGAAAAGCCAGAGAGTAAATACTCCTGGCTTTGTGGGTCTTTTAGTATCTGTAAGCAGTTGTTCAACTATTGCCAAAGCAGCCATAGAGGATACATAAACAGATGAGTGTGGCTGTTTTCCATTCTAGTACAACTTTATTTGGAAAAACAGGAATTACCAAATCCTGCCTTTAAATTTAGTATGAAGTAATGTCAGTTTTTACTTCTTTTTATGAAAATTTGTTTAGCAGTTTGTGTCCATATTTGTATTTATGAACATTTTTCCCCACTACTTTAGTCATCCCGCTAGCTGATTACTACATCATCGCTGGAGTGATCTATCAGGCACCAGACTTAGGATCAGTTATAAACTCCAGAGTGGTAAGTATCTCCACAGCCTTTAAAAACTAAAGAAAATTTTGGGGGGACAAGCAGGTGGCATGGTGGTTAAGGTGCTGAATTCCCACATGACCAACCGTGGTTCAAGTCCTGCACCCAGTAACATGAAAATTATTCCAGGTGCATGTGTATGCATGCCTAAAATCTACAGGAGAAGGGATTACAGGATGGCCATTCTTCCTGGGGGTGTGGGGGGTGTGGGGGGAGATTTCTCACTTTTTCTCTGTCTTTTCCTGTTTCTCTGAGCACACATGCCCTGTGGCAAAACCTAAACAAAGAAAAAAACTAAAAAAAACTTGAAATCGAGCTACATTATTTCCAAGAATCAAGCAGAACCTTTTCTCCCTTGTATGATTAATAATAAAAGTGTTGACTATTAAAATGCCTTGAGCATTGGCTACTGTGGGCCAAGTCAATGCTAAGAATATAAATTGTGGCTCCAGTTATATTAGTAATTTAGGCTTTGAATATGGGAAATTATTCTTTGTAAATGTAGCATTTTGTACTTTTTCACTTTTGGTCAACCTAATGAGAAATTTAAAATTTGTTTTCCTTTTACAAGCTTACTGCGGTGCATGGCATTCAGTCAGCTTTTGATGAAGCTATGTCGTACTGCCGGTATCATCCTTCCAAAGGGTATTGGTGGCACTTCAGAGACCATGAAGAACAAGGTAGGTAGAATTCCCAGACCCTCAGAAAACAGCTCTTCATGTTTTCTTGGTGTGTTTTACTTTTTTACAAAAGGAAGAAATTGTTGGAATTTGTTTCTAAATGTGGTAATAACAGCTTTTATGTAGGAATAGATATAAATTTAATCTGTAAGTTAGAGTGATTCAGGGTTTTCTATTTGTAACAAAAAGAAGAGAAGCAATGATGAGAAATGAGTAAAAGTGCTGTTTCCGGTTTACGTAAGTGTTGAGTCATCTTGGAATCTGGAAGCCTTTATCTCTCCAGTCTCCAAAGTAAGGGAGATAAAGATTGTTCTTAGAGCCTCTTTAGATGACCAGTCTTCCTGATCTTTCCTTTTTACATCTCTCAAGGTGCCAGGTCCCCTAGTTTCCATAGCTGTTAATCTGCCACCGCTTTTCACCATATTTTTTACTAATTACACTACCTCCAGAAATGCATCTATAGCAGTATACTTATGTTTTGAATTACTTCCTCTGAGAAATAGCAACTCAGGATAAGTTTCTGAGGAAAAGGTAACTTTTATATATCAATAGTATTCAGACTGTAGAATGTTCTTTAGTGTACAGTTATATTGGATCTTCAGAAAAGTCATGATATATATATTTTTTAATTATTATTATTATTCGCACACCAGAGAGAGAGACAGAAAGGGAAAATGAGAAAGGAAACCACCAAGTCTAGGACTTGAACTGTGTTTGGCCTTGTGCAGAGTCCAGCCTCCCAACCACCACTCCACCTGCTGGCCCCCATGATGTATTTTTCTATGCAAAAATACCTCATGACTTCAGACAAATAGGAAGTAGCTGTAGACAGCCAAGTTTGCTTTGGTTGAATGAAATTGACACAAGAGTTTTTTTTCTCCTACCCTAATGAAATGTAATAATATTTTTCTGGAAACCTTCATTTAGAATTGGTACCCCTGTATATGCACTCTCCTCTCCCCATGGCAAATCTCACATGTGAATAACTTTGAAATTTCTCTTACAGATTTTTTCTTTATGGTCCTTATGCTCTCCTATTTTGTCATTTTTTAATTTCAGTGAATTACAGTCTTAATAATTGAGCATGTTAAATAGAGTTTGTGAAACCTACGTTTTTCTATTTGCTCCTAATAGGTTTTATTGAAAAAGATGATTTAATAACACTTAAAATACAAAAGGCAATTTTAAAATCATTAAGCCGTATTGTAGTTTACATAATTATGAAAAACCTAAGCCTTCCTAAAGCTTAGATACCCTTTTTTAGAGATATTTTTGCTGTAGGGCATGTGTGCTCCCCGGAGAAACAGGAGACAGGAAGTGAGAAATTACCCCCCAGGAGGGATGGCCATGCCACAATCCCTTCTCCTCCATTCTCCTCCTGGTATTTCGGGCACACAGGTACACACTCCTGGTGTGAATTTTAAGCCACCAGGTCTGGGACTCGAACTGCAGTCAATGACGTGGGAGTCCAGCCATGTAACCGTTATGCCATCTACTGGTCCCAAGCTGAAGTATCTTTAAAATGCATATATTGGATCATTGGAAAGTCACATCATATTTTTCTATGCAAAAAGGCACCATGACTTTTTCAATGACCTAGTATATCAGCTTTTTAAAATGAGCATTTAACTTTTTAAAACTTATTTATTTATTTGATTTATTACTATTTTAAGCTCTCTGTAGAGCATGTGTGCTCACCCGAGAGAGAGAGAGAGAGAGAGCAAGTGAAAGTGCGAAAGCAAGCCACCAGGTCCAGGATTAGAACCATAATTAGCCATGTGGGAGTCCAGTCCCTAACCACGATGCCACCTGCTGGCCCTGCATTTAACTTTTTTTAAGAGAAAAAGTTAGAGCACATCTGTGTATTTGGGGAATTACCTTTGAACACCTGTATATATGCTGTATTTATTTAGGGAATTATCTTTGGTATAGCAGCCATTAAAATTAATGAAGTTTGGGTATGTTCATGGTGGACGAAGATTTGTAAAATATAAAATACCAATCTAAGCAGGCAGTGTTTTGATTTAGACTTTATATTTTAATAGATAAAGCCAAACCTAAAGCCAAGAGGAAAGAAGAACCGAGCTCTATTTTCCAGAGACAGCGTGTGGATGCTCTACTCGTAGATCTTAGACAAAAATTTCCACCAAAATTTGTACAGGTAATGAGAATACATGTGGTTAGTTTTGATTTGACACCTTTTCCTGGCATGTATGTTTATTTTTAATTAAGAACTGTTTCCAGCGTGACTTGGTTTTCCTTTAGTTAAAAAATAAGGCCACCTGGTGGTGTACTGGTAATATATCCATATGAGAAAGATCTTGGGTTCACATTCTGGGACCTTCCTCAGCATGCTGGGCATGTGTGTGCAAAACTGTGATCCAGGCCAGCAGAGGCTAGGAGTGGATTGTGCTGTGAAGACCCTCTTGGAGGGGGACCTATTTGTCATGGAAAAAATAAATCTTAAAACTTAAAAGCAAATAAACAAACTAAAATACTCTAAGTCAAAGGATAAGTTTTAAAAGGCTTCATGGGAAAAATGGGTGAAAGGAATGGAATTAACACAGTTATGTGTTCTCTATTGAATCTTTGTTAGCTATGAGCACTATGTGTAGATAATATTCTCATTCAAAAGGTTGCTAAAAAAAAAAGTGGGAATGGGGGACTGGCCCTGTGGTTCAGTGGCAATGTGGTGCTCAAGAGAAGATGGATCCTTCATGGCCACTATGCTTGGAATCCCTGGCCCTGTCAGCTGGAAACATACCCAAGATCCGATAAGCTGGAAGACCAGAAAGGGGATTGCAGCATGATCAGACCCCATGGGGAGTACTTTTCTCTCTCTCTCTCATCTTCAGATACACATCTACATGTATCGTGATTTTTTTTTTTTTTGGAGAGGAACATGTGATTTCAGAAAATTGTTTTTTTTTTTCCTTTTTTTTTTTGGAGAGGTTTTTGCTATAGAGCGCGTACACTCGCCAGAAAGACAGAGAGAGACGGACAGATAGAAAGCTAGAAATCACCCTCCAGGGGGGATGGCGTTGCCACAATCTCTTTTCCTCCATTCTCCTCTTGGGATCATGGGCACGCACGCACACACACCCAGCGTGAGTTTAAGCCACTGGGTCTGGGATTCAAACCGCGGTCAGCTACATGGGAGTTCAGCGACATAGCCATTATGCTAACTGCTGGTCCCAGAAAATTGTTTAGTTTTTAGTTATGAAAATAGGTAAGAAAGCTTAGAGGGCATGTAAATTCAGAAAGAAATTCAGAAAAAAACTGGAAGTGTTAACCTTCGAAATAGATCATTTTTCTCAGATGACATGGAAGTATATACAGGTATTTTATTGTGTGTGTTGTATATATGTGTGTATATAAAGGTATAGTAAGTTTGAAGGTAGATAGGAAGAAAGTTGGTGTTGTCATCCTATTTTTTTGTGTTATTATTGGTTTACTTTTTTTCTTTATTCATGATAGAATATGTGTGCACACACACAAGAGAGAGGAGAAGGAAAGAGAGTAAGAGCTAGATGAACACTCTTCATGTGGTCTGGTTGTGTCACAGTCTCCTGCCTTTAGTCCTCTAGCCCATCAGATCTTGAGCATTTAAGTGCATGCCCAGCTTGTTTCAGCTGATTGGGGTGAGGATTTAGTTATCATGTGGAATTTGGCTTTTCTTCAGCAGTGCATTACCACTGTGCTATGAAACTAGCCCTAGTCGTTTTTTATTAGTCGCCAGAAGGTACATGCACTTGAAGAGAAAGAGATCACTCCCTAGTAGGATGTAGTCATGGTGCAGTCCCTCTGCCTCCATTTCTCCATCCTGTCGGGATTTGGGGCGTGTACACACACACACACACACACACACACTCACACAGACTCACACACACATACACTCCTGACAGGCTTTTTGAGCTGTCAGCGTGGGGACACCATGTGGGATCCAATTCTCTAAACTGTTATACTCTGGGACTGGCCATGGTTTTGTGTTTAAACAGGGGAGACAGAGTATCATCATTTGACAGTCAGGTAGGTTTTGAACCTTGAGAAAGAGGAAGTAGAGGGTATTTAAGAGCATTTAACTTGGGTAGTAGGACAAGGGAGATGACAGGGACCAATCAAGAGAAGTAATTGTACAAAACAAAGCTGACCTTGTTCTTGACCCCTAGTGCCCCTGTCAGTTTTTCCTGAAGTTTGATTTTTTTTTTTTCTTTCAAGTTAAATTATTTATTTCATGTGAGAGATAGGTAGAGAGAGAGAAGAGAGACAGGAACTCTGAATAGGGTCTTGTCATGCCATGATCCCTCCAGCTCTCTAGTCAGCCAGGTTTATAGGTGTGGGATTTGAACCCCATGTGGTTCCAGTATTGTGCAGCAGTGCTCTATGGCCTCTGCCACTACAGCTGGGCCCCTGTAGTTTTATTTTTAATAGTACACAACAGAAGCCTTCTTTTTGCTCATAGGAAAATTTAAGAGTCAGAGGGTTCATCCAGACGTCGTTGCTCTTTCTTACAGTTCATATTCCCTAAATACATATCTGGAGTCTTAAAAAGAGGCACCATCATTTCCTCCCATTGAATAGTGCTTAACTGCTTTCTGTAAAGCATCATAGCCTGAGTGTGGCGGCTAAGGGCTGTGTAAGATGTTCAAGGGCTTTTAGGACTGTTCTGTTCTAGTTTTACATGTATGTCTTGGAAATGTGAATGAGAAGTAGAAAATGGTAAATGTTCTTTTTTTATGGTACACAACTATACTAGTTTTTCTTCATGAAGTTATTCATAATGTAATCCGGGTGAAGGTGTCATTATAATGAGAATTAAGAAATCAAGAAGAAAATTTTGCTAACCTTACCTGTTCCTCCTCCTCCTTTAAATTATAGCAAAAGACTGGAGAAAAGCCTGTCCCAGGTATGGTTCTTATTATATTCTTTTTCAACTTGAAATAAGACTAAACAGCCTGCTTAATTTAATAATAGGGTAACATGTGAGATGACCTCGTTCTTGACCCCTGATGAGATGAGCTGTGGTCATTTTGTTCTGCTAGATTCTCTCATTGTAGTTTGTGACTCCTAGGGTTTGAGAGCTATTAAATGGCCAATAGGTGGTGGTTTTGCGGAAATGATATTGGTATTTAAAGATGAATTGGATGGAAAGAGTAGGTACTGAGGTGTGAAGAAGCTAAGATGATTTGAGTTGACATCTCAGTGTAAAACAAGGTCTTTGTTTCATCACTGAAGACACATATCCATGCAACTGGGCTAGAATAATTCTGTATCTTGTTTTTGGATGATGTCTTATTTCAATGCCATGTGTGTTTGTCTAGTATCATACATTTTGTTGAGTGATCAAATTGTTAGACTTATAACTGGGTTCATACATTATATCTGCTTAGAAGACATCTAAATTTACAACTTGAGATAAACAGTTAAAAATGATATTGAAAGAGTAAACCATTTGTATTAAACAGTGTCTAAATTTATCTTGCCTCTCCATCATTCCCATTTCCCCAAATTCTGCTTTTGGTATCTAGTGGATCAGACAAAGAAAGAGGCAGAACCTATACCAGAAACTGTGAAATCCGAGGAGAAGGAGACCACAAAGAACGTCCAGCAGACAGTGAGCACAAAAGGCCCTCCAGAGAAACGGATGAGGCTTCAGTGAACATGGGACAGAGAACAGCTTTCAGGACTCTTGTGCTTTATTATACCTCAGTACTGTGGCTGGCCCTTGAGCTTACAAATACTTGGTCACAACTCTCTCATTTGTATGGAATACACATGTTCTCCCATCATTCATTTCTATGTAAATGTTTCTCGTGTATTTTATAATCTTTCCTCTACTGGACTTGAGCAGCCTACCCACTCACTTTATGTGTTGGTGTATACAGTTAAAAACAAAATAAAGGTATTTGCATACGTTGCTTTATCATGACTTTTTTTCCCCTCCTACTGCTCTAAAATTCTTCAGATGCACTTTGACACAAAGGATTAATATTAAAGTAGTAATTAAGTATGTTTCTTTTGTATATTCTTTAAAATTAAAATAATAAAACAGTTGGGAAGATTTATAAGAAAAGGAAAAACCTCATTCACCAGTACCATCATCCTACAAGTATTGTGAATTTTCTCTTCGTCTTTTATTGTACATAAATACTTTAAAAACTTTAATTTATAATTGTCCTGTCCATACAATTGTATTATATTGTTGTTGTAAGCAGTTTTCTTGTGTTTAGTTTTTCAGGCCATCTGATTTAGTCACTTGAGCTGACTCCTTGGCCTGGTGGTTAGGGCAGCTGCATCCCATATGACTGGCTGCCTACTCAAGTCCTGGACCTGGCAGCTTGAAAAACAGGCACGTGTGTGCGTGTGTGTGTGCCCAAAATCTGGATAGCAGGAAGAGATGGAGAGGGGATGGTGGTGTGAATGTTCCCCTTGGGGGATGCTTTCTTTTCTCCCTGTCTCTCTTTCTGCTGAGTGTGTGTGCCCTCTAGCCTAAATAAATAAACAAACAAATAAATATATAAATAATAAATTAATTAATTAATTCACTGATTAATTCATAAGAATGATTTTGATTTTATCTATTTTCTTGAATTTTTCATATTTGGGTTTTCTCCCAATTTACATTATGTTAAGTAAGGATACAGTGATTATATTTGTATATATTGCTTTTTCAATATTTAGTACTTATTCCCTTAGAATAGAGTCCCACAAGTAGAACCTGTAGAAGTCTGTACATTTTTATTGCTCTTAGTGCATTTCAACAAGTAGTTTTTCTCAAAAGGTCTAAGCTAGTTATTACTTAAAGGAACCTGGTACTTTCACACCTTGTCTCTAGAATCTTGCTTCCACTGAATATTATTTATATTTTCAGTGCTAATGAAGTAGCAAAATGTTTTATTACTTGAAGTGCTTGAATGAATGTATTCTCATCTTTTTTTTTTTGAGTTTTTTTTTTATTTAAATTTATTTGTTTACGTTCATTCACTGTACATCATTACAGCATACAAAATGAGATTTTCCATCCAGAATGGATTCTCATCTTAATTTCTGCTTTTATGAACTGTCTGATCTAATCTGTTGTGTGAAATTTTTGTTTCAACTTCTTTTTTTCAGGTTTTTGCCATTGCATGTGTGCTCTCCAGAGTCAGTGAGAGGGAAAGTGAGAAATCACCCCTCAGAGGAGATAGTCACACTGTAATCCCTTCTCCTCTATTCTCCTCCTGGGAGTTGGGCTCACACACAGACCCAGCATGATTTTCAAGCTACCAGGTCAGGGACTCAAACCATGGTCGGCTGTGTGGGAGTCCAGCACCTTAACCACCACACCACTGGTTACCCCTGTTTTAACTTCTTATTTTTTCTTTTTTTAACATTAATATGCTATACATCATTACAGTATACAAAATTAATTTTTCATCCAAAATACACTGTCTGTTGGCTCAATCAAGCACATCAACATACATGTTATCAACAAACAATTTTTCATTTCTTATGTCTTGTATATTTGGCGGGTTTTTTTTTTCCATCCTTGATTCCCTATCCCTAACCCTCTGCCCTGTCCAACCCTCCTCCCATTGTCTCTGGTATCCATGATTGCTTTCTATGCCTTTCCCCCCCATTTAATTGATTTGCTAATGAACTTAATTTGTCTAAATATTTGCAATAGCAAGCACAGCTAATATATACATACACAAGAACCCATGTCTGACTTTAGGCATAAACCTCAGTGAGTAGAATGAACATACTATAAAATAGTACCTAGCTGGGGCTATATAGCTTACTGTGGTCATCAAATACACAGTTTTT